TGCGCTGTGGACCTAGGGTACTTCCTCCGACCCACTCGAAGGAGCCGGGGCCCTCAGAAGGAACGCAGGGCAGGGAGGAACAGACGGCAGGGAAAGAGCTGGCTGCAGCCTCCACGCCACCACCCTGCCAGGCCCCCCTTACCTCCCAGCTGCCGAGGCACAATGTCCACGACCACCGAGGTGACCTTGGTGTACCAGTCGTACTGCAGAAGAACACGCCAGTCAGGTCCACCGGGGCACGGACAGTGTCCTGGCCCCCTTCTACGACAGCCTCAGAAGGAAGGGGCCTGAGACGAGCCTGCCTCCTTTCTGGTGATCCAGACCAGACGCCTGGAAGGGCCTCAGACAGGCCCGGCCCTGACTTCTTCCATCGGTGCCGAAAGCTCTTCCTGGACAGGGACTGGGACTATGTAACTTCCCACCCTACCTAGGCCCACACACAGCTGGCTACACGCAGAGAACTATGGGGACAAGCACTCCTGTCCACGAAAGACACGGTCAAGGCAGCAGCGCTCACGGTGAACACAGTGAACGCCCTCTGGGCCAGCACTCAGCCTCTAGGCCCTGCCCACATGACTGCTGCACCCTGGACAGGAGGGCATCCGCTGGGGGCTTCTGGGGAGAGGACACTGGTCCTTCGGCTTGCAGTCCCTCCTCCAGCTTACCAGGCACAGCTGGCTACACTGATGATGGGGGACTAGAGATGGGTACCGCAGGTATACAATGCGACACTGGTCTGGGCTCAGCCGTGGAGAAGAGATGGCCAGGGAGTCATCTGAGAGGAGCTCTGTGCCAAACGGAAATGTGGGCATCACACAGGCAGGTAGGGCCCACGTGTGCCAGAGACGGTGGGTGCAGGCAGGTAGGGCCCACATGTGCCAGCGAAGGTGGGTGCCTGCCACTTACCATACTTCCCCCCAGTGAGGTCCACATAGTACAGGGCTGACCTGGAACCGCCAGAGAAGACACTCAGCTTCAAGGCCAGCTGGGCTGCGGGGGCTCCTGCCCAGTTCCCCTACCTCACCTGCGATTGGTGCAGAAGCGGATGCCTAGCCGGAAGGGCTCATGCCACCAGCCCACAAACACCACACCCGTGTCTCCAGGGGCCCAAAATGCCTGTAAACAAGACCACGCGGCAGGCATGGTTAAGGGACCGTGGCTCAAGCAGGGACCCGAGGCTCCAGGAAGAACACAGGACAAGGCGCTGCTGACCTGGCCAGGGGACACGTTCTCAGGGACCCCTTCAAGCACCGAGATGTTGCCGCTCTCAACATCCAGGACGCAGAGCACAGGGGTGCTTTTGGACACCATGCTTTCTCCCCAGTCTTCATAAAACACAAACTGATCCCCCTGGGAACACAAGACCGTCAACGCCCAGGCTGTCCACAAGACCCTGCCCTGCCGCCTTAGAAGCCAGTGCCTCCCTGGTGCTGGCAGGCACAGTGTGGCAAGGGAGCACACTGAGCGCCTGCAGGGCCTTCACGGACTGGCCACAGCCTCGAGCACCTTGACGGCCTGGTCTGGCTTCTTCGGCCTGGCCGTCTCGTCCTCGCCGGCACTGACGTCCAAGGCCTTGGTCTGAAAGAAGGACTCGGCCTTCGGCCGCTTCTTCTCTGCCACGTACAGCAAGTGTGTCTCCGAATGCGACCAGGACAGGCAGCCGAAGCAGTCTGGGCGTGGGGAGGGCCAATGAGGGAGGAGGCAGGGCTACAAGCGCCCTCCCGTCCACCCTGCCTGCTCGCCAGCGGCATCTCACCATCTTCATATACAGGCCCATGCTTCTCCAGCGCCGACAGGTTGAAGCTCTTGAGTTTCCGGTTCTTCTCCCAGACCTGAGGACACGCGGGCGTCAGGCTGCCCGCCCCCGCCCCCGAGTCTCCTCTGTGGGGCCTCCAGGTGCCCACCATCTGGCCCCAGGGGGACTCACCTCCAGGAACTGCTTCTCCTCCCCGGGGCCGGTGCCTCCAGCCTTGCGCAGCACCGCCTTCAGGGTGCCTGAAGGGGACTCTCGGCTCAGCAGCCTTGGGGAAGGCACGGGGTGGGCGGTCAGGAACGCCTCCCCCCTCAGCAACAAGCCCAGTCACGCACCCCTACCTGCCACAACCTCCCAGAGGAGATTCTTGAGGTTCTGGCCCACACCAGCCCCTACAGCACCTCAGGGCTCTCCAACTCCCACGGCAGCTGGCCTAGCCTTTCCCTGGGCTTCTGGGGGCTCCAGTCTGGCCCATGCCTCTGGTGCGGACCATGTCACCGGAGAGCCGATGAGCTCCCAAGGGCAGGAGCGCGGCTCCCGGCCTCGCTCTGGGCCCACGCACAGCCAGGCACCTGGCGAGCCTTCGCAAAGGCTTGCGTTAGACGGCGGTGGCCTTGTCCGTGACAGTCCTCCCTCACACTTACTCCCCCCGGGTCTCCACACTGCTGCCTGCAGGCCCTGCAAACACCACTGAATCCTCATCGTGGAACACCAGGTACTGGCGGCAGAATCGGATGTTCTCCATGCGTTCCAGGTCCCTCTGGGTCCATTCTGTGAGGGGAAGTGCGAGACGGCTCAACTTGTCTTGGCCAGTCCTGGCCACTGTCCCTTAGCCCAGGCATGCCCAGATCCACCTTCCCCAACCGCTCTCCAGACACCCTGGGTGCAGGCTGGCCCACGCTGGCCACGCTCAGCCCAGCCTCTTGGAGACAACTCACTACTGCCTCCAGCACCCAGCCTAGAGTCTTGAGGGCAGCCTGGCACGTGACCGAGGAAGGCCCACACTCAGCACCCAGGTCAAAGTTCGACTCCCACACCCTCGACTCTCGCACTCCTGGGCACGGCCTGGTAACGCCCCGCACACCCCTGTGCAGGAACCTTGGGGGGCTTACCCTCCAAGCCCCGGCTTCTCCACACACTCGCGTGCACGGTCACGCAGCGAGCCCCACACGCCCCCTCTACGCCCCCAGAGTGTACGGCCCCGCTGCCACCCAGCTCCCCACTGTACACACACCAGTGTGCACTGTCCGGTAGCGGCCCCCGTACTGCGTGGTGACATCCGGGCCCAGGCAGGCGGCGCTCAGCGCGGGCTGGCGGCTAAGGACCCGGTACAGCGCCGCCGCCTCCTCGGGCTCGCTCAGCAGCACCTGCGCAGGGGACACACCAGGTTCAGGCCCGGCCCGGGCTGCACGGACCACGGGCACCGCGGGCCGAGCCCTCACCTGACGCTCCATAGTCTCCGCAGGCGGGGCGAAGCGGCGCGTGCAAGCGCCCGGAAGTGAGGCCTCGCGGGGCGTAGCCTGGGGCGGCCCGGCCTGTTTCCGCTACGGCCCGGAGGCGATCTGGGAGCCGGGCCTTCGACGAATGGCAGAGGGCCGTTGGCAGACGGGGCGGGACCTTGAGGGAAAAGTCCCGGAGAGGAGGAGGGGACCCTGAGGAGAGCCGCAGGCCTTTCGGGGCAGGGCGAGGCGGGGCTGGTGGGAGGCGGGGTCTGCGGGTCGAGCTGCCCGCCGCTGACTGACAGGGGAGGCAGTGGGATCTCCGAGGAAAGGGGCGGCCCTTTGGAGGCGGCGTGCAGGGGCAGGTTGTCGGGGAGGATCGACAGGGCCAGCGTGAGACTAGGGTGAGGCCAGAGCACTGGGAGGGTGGGGCCTGAGAGGAATGCCGACCAATGAAGACTTGAGGAAGCGGGTGGGGCGGGCCAGGTGGGCTGCAGGGCCGGTTGCAGGGTCGCTCCCCATCCTGGGGGCCTCCCGGGCAGAGGTCGGGACGAGGCTAGGTCCGGGCGGAGCGGAGTTGTGGCATGGCGGGGGGGGGGGCGGGGGAGGGCAAAGAGGCACGGGGGCGGGGCTCACAGGGTGCTGTCTGGGCTTATCGGCCACCAGACCTGACCCATGAGTTATCAGTCCCCGCAGCCCTCACCGGCTCTTCGCAGGGGCGCCTTGCTGGGGATGGTGAGCCGGTGGGCCCGAGCTCTTGGGTGCAGAGGGCCTGGTGGGGGTCAGGCCCCTCCTAGGCCAAGGGAGCTTCCTGTGGAAACAAAGATCCTGGACAGGCAGGCTTCCTCGGCAAGTGGCACGGGACTGGAGAGGCTGCACCGCAGTCAGGCCAACTGGGACGGCCCCTTCTTCCCCCTCGAGCCCGCCTGCTTTCACACCTAGGTCCCTGCACTCTGCCTTGCCTTTGACTGACATTCCACTTGCCTGGCCTGCAGCCTCCCCTTCCCTAACAGCGACATCATTACTTGAACATTAGTGGTTAAGTAAAAACCATCCCTGCATTCAGAGGTCACCTGCATTTATTGAGCACTCAGTGTGTGCAGGACTGTTAAGGCCAGAACCAGGAGTCCAAGAGTGACCCCAGCCATCTCTGGAAACCGGGAGGTTCATCAAGCGTTGTTTGTGTTAGGAAAATGGAGTATATGGTGCCTGTCCCTCGGAGTGTGTGCAGCAGACTGGCTGTAAACTCCCCTGGTGTGTCTCTGGGGTTGGGCACTGCGCAGTGAACACGTAGAAATAAACGGAAGGCCAGCAAATAGGATGTTCTGCACCGTGGCCTCTGCTGAAGGTGAAAGACAGGAAGGAAGGATATGTCTCAAGATGTTAACTCTAGGGGAAGGGCCAGAGAGGGGATGGTCGACAACAGACGACGGTATTCCTTTCATTTATCTGTGTTTTTAAAATTTTCTGGCAACTCTGGGTTATGAGGTGGGAGTTGGGAGTCGGCAGAGCAGGGCAAGCAGGTGTAGGACTCGTTAGCAGCACCAGGGGGCAGCAGCTGCTCACCTGTCTTCCCAGCACAAGATCGCAGAAAGCTGTGTGTGCAGCCTGGACGCCCACTGTGCAGGTCCAAGCTTGGAGCCTCCACCTCTGTGGGGGGTCCCTTGTGGCTTGACTGACTTGGTGCGAATTCAGCCACAGGCACGCCAGCCCTTCCGCATCTCTTCCCTTTAACCATGACACGAACTTGGTGATTTGCTCCTTTGGTGAAGCCTTGCCACTTTAGAAACCAACCCAGAGACAGTGTGTGGATTGTTTATATCAAGTCTTTTTATTCTGATACCACAGAATTACCTTGTCACAATGCAGGGGGAGGGACACTGAAAGTACCACAAGTTCTCACAGAGCACGGGAGGACGGCACACAGTTCACGAGGGCGGCTGGAGGACTCGGGTCATTGCACTTACAACTGTAAACTTGTTTGTGTGACTTTGTACAGCACTCTTCCCCCCTCAAATGAAGAAGGAGAGAAAGAAAGAAGGGAAAGAGGAGGGAGGAAGGAGGGAAAGCCGAAAACAAGACGTGGAAGCTGGAGGAGAAGGTGTGGATGGCCACTCCTCTCCAGGGTGCTGCCTAGGGGAGGAGGAGCTGAATGAGACAGACACGCACACGCGCACACACACACACACACACACTCATACATAGGTTCGCGTGCACACAGTCTCACAATTTCCATGGCTCTCCAGGGCCTCCCCAGGGCAGCAGGCACCCAGGGAGACGGAGCTGGCATCTCGGAGGAGTTTCAGTTCATTAGGCCTGTCCCTCTGACCCTGTCGGAGTCCACAATGACAAATATTTACAGCATGGCGGGGGCTGGGTGGAGGAGGAGCCGCTAGGGCAGGAGCACACTGTCATGGCAAAGAGCCTGCCTGGAAAGCGCCCCCACAGGCTCCAGGAGAGGGGCCACAGTTGCTGCTACTGCTGCCCTTTCGTTGTTGGCCCTGAGCCCTCACATTCCACCCAAGAACTAAGAGGATGGGGGTGGGGCTGCCACCTGACATGTGCACTGGGGCCCGGCGAGGGCAGAGGAGGCGACACCCTGGCTGTGACGCAGGGGAGGGAGGTACGGAGAAGGCCTAGATGGCCTCCCCGAGACCCCTTGCCCATTTGGAAACAGGTCTGCTGTTCCCTGCTTCCCAAGGCACCAAATGCTGGTCCCTCAGCCTCCGGCTACATTGCCCCGAGAGTCACAGGGTTCAAGACACCTACAGCCCAGATGCCTGCCCCAGCCACCTCCACAGAGAGGCAATGACGTGTCCTGGGGATACAGAGGGGCGTGAGGAATGGCAGATGTCAGATTTTTCAAACTCAGAGACCTTGGCCAGAAAGGAAATCTGCTAAGAAGTTAACACTTCAGAGACAGACAGGGCCCGGTGCAGGCGGACCTGCTGACATCTTCCCGCTTGCACCCTGCTCCTAGCCCATCCCTGGCCTTCAGTGGAGAGGATCACTGCTCTGGCCTCCAAGTACCTAGGTGCATCCCCACAGAGATGCGGCCCCAGCCTCCCTTAGCCAGACCGCATCTTGGGGATGAGCAGGTGTCCCACGTGCAACGTGAAGGCTCGCAGCTGCTTGTCCCATCCTAGTCGCCAGAGGTGGGCCAGGCTCTGTCTCTGAGGGGCGTGCAGACGTTAGAGAAAACCAGGAGAAATGTGGACCCCTGAGAAACGCACGGTGCAAACCAGAGCACTCTGGAGGCAGATCAGACCTCAAGGCATCAGGCAGCTCCCGCCTGCCATGCTTCAGCTCAGTGGTGGAGAAGCTAATGAGGATGGGTGGGCTTCAGAGAAGGTGATGGGCAGGGATGATACGCCCTGGCAACAGAGGCAGCAAGGCCCGCACAGGACCTTCAGGGACGTTTTGCTATTGAGAAACTTCCCAAGAAACTCTACTTGCAGCCATTGTCTATGTAAATAGTTCACCTGCTCTGGTTCCAGAAGACACTGTCAGCCAAAGGCCACAAGCACTAAAGGTTCAGCTCTTCCCGAGCACCCACTGACCTGCTGGCTCCAGCCCACGTCTCCTGGGCTCCCAGTCCCTCCAGGCCTCCAGCCACAGGGGAGAGGCAGGGAGCAGCTGCACGCAGAAGCTGGGCCCACAGAGCATAGCCAGGTTCTGTCTGGCCTCTGCCTCTCTGACTGTGAATGCTGCCCAGCTCTGCCCTTAAGCAGTGCCCCACTGGGAAGGGGCAGTCAGATGCCTCCGGTCTGGGGCTCGGGTAGGAGGGGAGAATGACATACGGACAGCAATCCTACAGCAAACCTTCAGAACATTCGCACACATGCATCCTGGGCAGGCTCCCACCATCATGTCTACTCCGTGGACTCCTTTTTACCTGCTTCTTGGATGAGAACGCGGCAGGGCATGTGGGGCCTCACACTGCCTGGCCCGCAGCCTGGCACGCTCAGGCGACAACTGGTGGGTCCTCACCAGCTGTGCAGAAGTCAGCTAGTAGTGCTCCTGAAGGAGAGGTTCTGAGGCAAAAAGAACTCCAAGCAAAGGGGTCGAGCGTTTAAGATGGATGAAGTCGTGCAAAGAGGCTGCGAGCTGCGCATGCTCCGCGGCGGGGCAGGCGGTGGCTCGCCCGGCAGCAGCGAGTCCTGCCGCAGGTCAAGCATGCCACAGACGGAGAATTTCACACACACGGGAGAGGGGCGGGGGGGGAGGAGGGGATGTGAGCAGATCTATCCAGTTTCTCAATTGCACGGTTGCAATTAACTCCTTATACATAACATGGAATTTATTAAATATTAACAGTTGTCTTTGAGGGTTTATATTTCATTGCATAGAACATCAGAGATGAGACTTGTGGCTGTGCCCAAGATGAAGGGAGGCCCCCAAGGAAAGGGTCCTGGGGAGGAATGCCGCCCAGGCCACCAGGTGGAGAAACGGCGCCACGCTTCCCCACGTGGGGCTCTGGGCCTCTCCCTGGGCTGGCAGAAGCCCTGGCCCCTCTGCTCTGAGCACACGCACTGGTGATGGCTTAAGAAGGACTGGGATTGCACAGTAAACAGAGGCGGGCGGGGGGCCTCCCTAGACCTCGCCCCGGGGTTGTGCTCTTGGTGGCAAGCCGCCCCCTATTGCTTCTAAGTCAACATTCTCCCGTGCTGAGCAGGGGCAGAGCAGAGAGGGAACCAAACCGTCAGTCACAATGTGGTGCTGCAGGGAGAGGCAAGGGGGTGAGCAAAGAGAAGAGAGAAAGGGAGAGAGAGAAACGAACGTGAATGTTTATGAGGTATACACGTAAATCAAAGCGGAATGATTAAGGCTGTTCTCGAAATCAAAAGAAACCCCCAGGTGTCGGGACGAGGAGGAGCCGGCTGGTGGCTGGTGGAGACAATGGCGGTGCCGCTGGGATGTGCACGATGGTTAGGGGGATGGCTTTAAGATGATGGCCTGCGTGCTCGCACGCTGCCACCCAAGGGCTGGGAGGAGCCTCAGCCGGCGCCCACGCTGCTTGTCGGTGCTATGGCCTCTTAGTTCAGCGATGAGACAGTGTTAGGTCCTAATGTTTGTAAAGTTCTCCCAACCCTACGCTGGCCACTAGAAGGTCTGCTCCCGTGTCACCCAGAGGGCAGGGTGTGGGGGCAGGGCCCTGTGGCCACAGAGGGATCTGGGCCAGCTGGAATGTGAAGGAAACGGAGCCCAGGGCCCCCAGCCCTCAGGCAAAGCCCCTCTCCAAGGCTGTGGAAAAACGTCTGGCATCTCGGAGGGAGGGCAGTGTGTGTCCAAACTCTGCGTATAACGCACCGGGGCAAAAGGCGGCTGTGGGACGCGTGGCGAGACAGCCATGGTGCAGGCTGCTGCAGAGGGCGCCTCCCTCCCAACGGCCGATGGCTGTGCCTCAATGGCGGTGCCCTGAGGAGAGCAGGGTCTCGGCAAAGACAACCAGGGTTCCCCCAGGCCAGTGGTCCCACTCATCCAGCAGGTATTTCACGCAGGCAGCTGCTGTCAGGTGACTCTCCGTCCTCAACTGAGGCCAGCCTGCCACGTCCCACCTGGTGTGAATCTTTGGGCCAAGGGTTTGCCAGAATGCAGATGCTTGGAAGAGAAAAGGAGGGAGGGAAGGAAGAAGAAAAAGAAAGAAGGATTTTGACAAGAATCATGGATGGCTGCTTCCCACCCCCACACTCGTCTCAACCATCTGCCTGGGTATCAGGGCCCACACCACTGAGGCCCGGGGTGGGGGGGTTGGGAGCCTGGGCAGCGTGAAGGGCACAGAGAAGGCAGGAAAAAAGAAGGCTCAGACTCTGTAACCCTTAGTACGTACAGCTACACCTTTCAATGAAAATACAAGGCGTGGGGCAGGCGTTCGGCCTGGCAGTGAGGTCTGCATGCCTGTGGCCCATGCTGGAATACCTGGGTTTGAGTCCAGCTCTGCTCCTGTTAGTGCACACACTGGGAGGCAGCAGGTGATGGCTCAAGTAGTTGGGTGCTTGCCACCCATGTGGAGACCTGAATTAAGTTGCTAGCTCCTGGCTTCAGCCTGGCCCAGCCCTGGCCACTTGGGGAGTGAACTAGCAGATGGGAATTCGCTCCGTCTCTCTGCCTCTTAAGCAAACCAATAAATCAGGTCAGCCGGAAAGGGACATCTCTTTTAACGTGACAGAAGTTTCTCCTGTTTTGCTTAAGAGTGAAATAGATGGAGCCATGTTTAAAATGGCAAGCCTCTCCCAGCCCATCCCTGAAACTTCTAGAAAGACACCAGACAATGGGCATTCACTGCGGCGTTGACCACTTGGCTCTATCATTAGCCAAATGCTAGAACTTGAGCATCTGTGAAGTCAGTGGCCTCAGTGGCAGGACACAGAACAAAGCTACATCTGTGTCTCCTTTTCCTTCTCAGTAACGGGGAGCTGGCCCTGATCCAAGGTGGGACTGCCATGCACCAGGGCCACGGGCTGTCTCTCGTCTCTCCCTGCAGCTCCATGTCTAAGTTCATGTCTGCTTCAGGGCAGCAGCTGCAAGGAAACATGTGGACGAGAGGGAAGGCAGCAGGGCCCCCTGGCGGGTGAAGGCAGGAAAACCACTGGGCCTGCACTGTGGCGACTGTAATCAGAATACATTCAAGGCGCAGCTGACTCCCACCTGCCTCAGACTTCGCCCCTGGCCACCTCTGCCCTGCGCTGTGCTTCTGGCTGTGCTGGCTTGTGCCGTCCCTGAAATCCAGCAGTCCACCAGAACCTCCGCTGGGGTGACTCCCTCAGCCGGCCACAGCTCTCGGCTCCTCCCCGAGGCCTCACCTCCACGCCCGCAGCTCTGACCCCTTCCTCTAGAGCTGGCCCGCCCTGCTGCACCAGCTCCAAGACGTCAGAAATCACCTTTCTAATTTAATCTTATTTTCTAATCTGTTCATTCGCTGTCTCCCTACGTGGACCATCGGCTTTGGAGGGCAGGAACTTGGTTTTGTTCCCTGCTGTATTCCCAGTGCCTAAACTAGGGCCTGGCATACACCTGAGCTTGGCCAGCATCTGCTGAGTAAATGGGCAGAAACGGGGCTGCCCAACGCCCCTCCACACAGAAGCCCTCTTGGCACCACACCCAGCTCCTCCCTTTCCATAAGCAGCTTGGCCTGGGCAAGGGCTCCTTTGAAGTGACCTGTTTGCTGACTGCCAGGCCCTGCCACGGGGACCACACACACACCTGCCCATGTGAGAGTGCCCCAACTTCCATCTTCTTACTGTGGCTGCAGGATGGGGGGAGGTGGTCCCTGGCTGAGCACAGAGCAGCAGTATCTATCGACAGCCAGGCTACCAGCCTGCCCCAGCCTAGATGCTGCTCTTCCCTCCTCCACACAGCGAGGCAGGGGCAAGGCCAGCGGCAGGGCAGGCCCCAGATGACCTGCCTTGGCTATTGCAGGCCACACAGAGCCAGGGCTGCTGTCCTTAGGCCCTTCTACTCTCTCCCTGGGCTGACAGCCCGAGACCGAGGCTGCCTATCTCGTGACTGTCCTTTCTTTTGAGTTCCTTTCCTATCTGCCTCTCTGCTCGTTCTACTCTTCCATCTTGTTCTTGAAAAGCTCAGCCTGGAAAGCCAGCAGTGTCTGGACTTCACATCCAGAGCCACGACGCCCTGTGGGGTCTGGGAGCTCCAGCCTCTCCCCATTGGCTGGACCAGAGATGCCCGGGAAGGGATGCGTCCCCCAACAAGAGCCACAGGCTGCCCTGTCCTCCACAATCGTGGACTCAGTGTCCAGTGCTCTGATAGTTGTGGGGCACAGCTGGCACCGAGTGTACCACCTGACTCATTGCCACTGTCTCAGCCAGCTCAATGGCACTGGCCCAGGGGCTGCTGGGCGCACCACACCCTTTCTGAGGCACACGCAGACTGGATGGCTGTGTTCATCCAGGTCACAGCCCTTTACCCCCTTCTCTGCCCATCCCTCCCTGGCGCTGAAACTCACTGTTATACGCAGAGTCCAGAGCTGCGCCCAGATCTCTGCCTCCAGAGATTTTTCCACAGCAATGTTATCAACCTCTCTTCATCTCTTCAAGAGCCTGTGGGGCATTTATAGGGGAGGGTTGGGGAGGAACAGCTCCACAGTGGGTCCCACCCAGAACCGGATGCCAGCCCACTGCTGTGAGAGCCCCACAGGGGGACAGAGGAAGGTGAGGAGGACGACGGGATGTTGACCCTCTTCTTCCTCCTGGGGCTCTACCGCGCTGGCCCTGAGTCAGGAGTCTGTGCACAATCCCTCATCCTTCCGTGTCTCAGGAGTGCACACTGCAGCTCTGGCCATACCACCTGCTCAAGACTAGACTTCTCCCAGGAAACCCACTGGGACCTGGAGCTCAGCCCCCCACGGTGCCCCAGGCCAGGAGAGGCCAGGAACAGGCTGCTCATACTCACCCTGCTGGGCGTGGTCACCAGAACGAGGAGAATTTTTTGCCAAAAGCAGAGACAGCTGTGACACAGAAAGAGAGAGGCATTAGGGAAATCAGGGAGGCCAGGTCCCTCTTCGTCATGGCCATTGGTGTAGTGAAGGCACGTATAGCCCAAGAGACAGGGACTGGCCATAGGACTGGGTGGCTGCAGGTGCACCCTCTGGCGGGCCAGTGCTCAGGTGCCTGAGCCTGGAATCGTCCACAGACCCCACTTGGCCAGCTCAGGGCCCTGGCCGCAGGCAGCGCAGTGCATACCTTCCGTCAGCTTGCCAGCTTGTTCTGCTGCCCCGCCAGGGAGGATCTTGGAGAGCACACTCTCCCCATCAGCACCCGGCTGGCCTGCGGGAGCCCCTGGGGCGCCTCCAGGCCTGGCTCCAGTCTTCAGGCCTGGGGGAAAGAAACCACCAACACGGGTCTGAGTGGGAGAGTAGCCATGAAGGACTCTGAACCCAGCTGTCCTGTGAGAGGCAGGGAGGGGGAGGCTGGAGGAACGTGAACATAGAAAGAGAACAGGGAGGAAGAGGGAAGTAGGCAGAGAGGAAAAAGCAGGGGACCAAAGGAAAGGGAAAAGAAGGGAGAGTAAGAATCTAGAGTCTTGGCCCTGGGCTCACCATGCCCTTCTGGGTTTTTCACCCAGAGCTTCTTGGGCCCTAAGGCCCAAGTGCTGGTGACACCATCAGCTCATTCCAAACCCAGGCTTTGGGGAGGTCTGCAGCCCACTGGGCACCTTCTCAGGGGCGAGTGAGGGGGACTTGGGGCACAGGTGGCTGTGTGGGGAGAAGAGTCTGCACACTCGGGGCTGTGACCGAGGGAACCAAAGGGTAGGCTTACCTGCAGATCCAGGTCCTGGTGTCGGCTGAGCCTGAGGAGCCCTCCCCTGTTGGGGTGCCTTGGCTGTGGCTTTAGAGCCATTTGCTTGTTCTGCCCGTGGCTGCAACACAGAACCCAGAGCTGAGATTCTGCCAGTGGATGCCACCCACACCCGGCCTGGAATCCAGAAGATGCCTGAACTTCAGTTGCAGCACCCACCCTGGGTAGGCTCCATACAATGACAGCCCTACTTACTGGTCCTGCTGGCGGGGGGCCTGCGGCTGGCGTGGGGCCTGGCTGAGGTTTCCCTGCTGGCTGGCTGGAAGCAGGGGCCGGGCCCCTGGCAGATGGCTGGCTCTGCTGCTGCAGCCGAGCCTGTGGCGGCGCCTGCTGTGGAGGCTGCTGTCCAAGGCCTTGCTGCTGCTGCTGCTGCTGCTGCTGCGGCTGCGGCTGCGGCTGGCGTGTGGCTGCCCCTGAAGGCAGCTGTCTGGATGGCGGTGGCTGTGACTGCTGTGGCCCTGGAGTTGTCTGTCGACCTGGAGCTGCCTGTGGCTGTGCCTGGGGTTCTGGCTTTGGCTGCAGGGCAGCGGGCCCAGAGTGGGCCTGCCGGGAGCCCTTTTTGCTGTCGGAGGCATGATGGTATGCTGACGGAACACGTGGTGGCTGTGAGTATTCTGCAGAGCTGGGGTACCCAGGCTGACCCTTCTTCGGCATGGCTGGGGCAGGGCTGGGTTGAGGGTGAGGCCGGGCCTCGTGGCGACCCATGTCCCGAGCGTGCGGTTTGGTGGCACGCCGTCCTGGCTCCTCGCCAGTGTGGCGACTCGAGTGCCGCCCATGGTCACTGTGATGCCGGTGTTCCTTGGCTGAGGCATGGCGGCCAGGGCCACCCTCATCGGGAGCCCACAGGCCCTCCTCGGAGGGTTCGTCGTAGTCATGGTAGCTGTGCCTGGCAGGGCCTCGCTTCTGGGAGGAGGAGACTGCATGGCCCCCATGGTGCCTGAACCGGTCGGAGCGGGCATCCCGGGGCTTATCAAACCAGTCTGTCTCCTCCTGGCCCAGGTGATACGCTTCAGAGACCAAAAACAGAACACCATCAACCCCCGGGCTGGCCACAGGGGGAGGCCTAGCTGAAGCCATGCAAGGACACCAGAGAGCGGGCACCACAGCCGCAAGCAGATCACTGGACCCCCAGCCCCCGCCCCCCTCAGCCGGGGCACCAGGGCACAGGTGGAGCAGACAAGGGCAGCCTGCGGCAAGGCTCACTGCACGAGGGGCCAGGCCAGACCCTGCTGGGACATCTCGGGGCCCAGGGACCCACGCGCAGGCAGGCCCCCCAGGTGCTGAAGCTGCAGAAATCACCCCCAGCTGCCATTACCTTCGCTGTCGGAAACCACGCAGTGGGAGTCATCCAGGATGTAGCCCTCCTCACGCTTATACGCGTGGGCCCGAGGCCCGTCCTTGACGTGCTCCTGGACGTCAGGCATGGAGTGGCTGGAGCAGAACTGCGGGCAGCTATCCCCAGGAGGGAGGGTCCCCCCGGCAGGGCGGGGCCGTCCCAAGGGGCTGACGGGGCTCTCCTCTTCAGAAGCTTGGCTCCGCATGGGGGGCCGTCCCCGGCTGTGGGCCATGCTTAAGGACGAGGGCTTGGGACCTGCTTTTTGAAGTCGCTCCACAGTCTCCCGTTCCCGTTCGTACCCCTTGCCTCGGCCACTGAAGTCGTGGCTCGACAGCTTCTCCCCACTATAAGCGGATGCCCCCCGGGACCGGCTGCTCCCACCATACATGCGGTCATCCTCCTCCACTGCGTCCCGGCTGGACACCCCGTAGTACCTCTGCTGTTCATACACGTTCTTCTTGAGCCCGTAGGTGATGTCGTCCTGGAACTTCCTGCCCCGAGAGGCCAGGCTGCTGCTGACGGCAGAGGGGGGGTAGGAGGCCAGGTCTGACTCCACGTCTTTGGCCTCCTCAATAGGCGAGAACTTGGAGATCTTTTGCTCCATTCCCTGCTTCCGGTGCTTGCTGCGCTTGGACGGGATGGCAGCAGGGGCCAGGCTCTTGGAGGGATGCTTGGGTCCTGAGGGCCCCGGACCATATTTCTCTGCCCGGGCCCCATGTCTGTAGTCACTGTCACTGTAGTAGTGGGCACTGGCTGGTCGGCCATTGCTCTCCACGCTCCGGTGGTGGCCAACCTTCCCACGGGGCTCGTAGGAGTCCTCCTCGGATTCCTCCTCCCCGCGGGCATAGCAGCAGGGCAGTGCCGACCCCTCAAGGATGCCAGGCTCTCCAGGCTCTTTCCCTGGACGTCCGCTGCCACCCGGCCCCGAGGGATCCAACCGCTGGCTCTCTGGGGCCGTGGAGGTGCTGTCCTTGGTCAGCTCACTGATGTCGTCGATCATCACGTAGTTCCGAGGAACATTCTGCTCCAGGCTGGTGTAGTGTGAGTCAGGAGGGTAGGTGGGGGCTGGGCTCTGGCTCACACCACTACGGTCGCTGGCCCGGGGCAGCTCAGGGACCTTGCCCTGCTCGTAGCTGCTGCTCACTGCTGGGCCACTGTAGCTGGTTTCAGAGGTGGCTGAAGACACGGCTACAACGGGGCTGGTGATCACCTCGTAGTTGGTGGGCACCTTCTGCTCCAAGTCAGCCAGTGATGTCTGGCGTGGCTTCTGGTGGAGGGCACGGCTGTCAGCTGGGACTGGAAAGTGGGTGCTCTGTGTGGCTGGCATGGACGTTTGGGCTGTATAGTGGCCTGTGGGACGGAAAGCCTGCTGGTTTGTCAGGCCAGGCTCAGTTGGGTAACTGGTGCCAGGAGGAAAGGCAGGTGCTGGATAGGTGCTAGAGCCAGGGTAGGTGGGTGCCTGGTGGGCTGGGACTCCGTTCTGAGTCATCCCAGCACTGCCTGCAGTGTACTGTGGGGCCGGAGGTGGGAACCGTGGCTGCTGGAAGGCAGTGGGGCCAGAGGGGGTGGCAGGAGCGGCGGCAGTGGCAGGGAAGTCCCCATACTGTCCGGCTGGAGCCGTGCAGCCCTGGAGCCGCAGCTGGTTGAGCTCACTGTCCGATAGGTAGTCACGATGCTCACCAAGACCACGCAAGGGTGGGTAGTCACGGCCACCCCGGTCTTTGGCCAAAGACTCTTTGCGCTGTGTGATACCCAGCTCCAGGTACTTGAGCTTGGCGTCAATCTCCTTCTCCTCCTCATCCAGCTCTGCCTGCTTCTTGCGCAGCTTGGTGGACTCATGCTCCACCAGCCGCAGGTCCCGGTCCAGCTCCCGGAGCAGGCTGGCCTTGGTGGCAGGGACAGCGGTGGGCCCCGCCAGCCCTCGCTGCAACAGGCTGGCTGCATACAGCTGTGGGGGGGCCTGGCCAGCCAGGGGAAGGTGAGCCTCCTCTGGAGGGGGGCTGGGCAGTGTCCGCTTCACCTTGCGGACCAGGCCGTTGGGTGGCAGCGCCGACACCTGAGACAGAGGGAAGGGTGGGCAGCACTGAGACCCAAGGTGTGGGTGACTTGGTGGGGTGTGGGGTCTGAGAACGTGGCTTGGGCTGGGGCAGGAGCTGGGCTCCACACGTTTTGGTGCACAGATTCACCAGGCAGCTTTGAGGCCTACCCTGCCCACCCACTGGCCTTGGAGAGAAGGCCCACGATCACCCTAAGGTTCTTCTCCTCCCCAGAGCTCTGTGCACTGGGAGGGCAGGGAAGGGGCAGGATGCCCTTTTGTTTCCAGTACTGGCCTGGCACACAGTGGCCTTGAGAACCCCTGCACATCTCCAGTGAGCTTGCCACCCTCTGCCTCCTACTAACATGAGGAGAAGACAGGTCTGGCTTGGGATTCGGGTTCTAAGCAGCCGCTGGGGGCTGAGGGCAGTGGAGGGCATGGACAAAAGGAATGGGTGGGTCCGGAGGCTCCCTAGAGGATTGTGGGAAAGGGGCACATGCTGACTGCAGGCTCTTGAGTCTTCTCCTTCCTGCCCACCTGCCTGCTCTCCACTCTCATCACTGTGCCTGCACCACCCTCTGTCAAACCCCCCAGGCTGCATTTGTGGTGCAGCCCCTAGCTCCCTGCACATCCCTTGGTCAACTGCTGCTTTCTGGGGCCATGGGTACACCTCTAGGTACCCTCTGGCGCCATCTGCGGCAGCCTGGCTTGCTGCCCGAGGTTCTCTGCAGCGCTGTCTGCCTCCCCACTTGCCTCTGACACTCTGCATGGCCTGCAGGGCCACATCACCACCTGGTTCACTCTGGTCCTCCCTTTATCTCTAGCTCCTGGTCTCTGGAGAATGCTCCATGGTTTTGGGGGGTCATGGACCACCCTGATCCCCCAAAATACTAGGACTGACATTAGGATTCTTAACTTTTCACCTTGCTAAGTAACTACATAAAAACCTCCCACCTACTTTTTCTTAATTCACAAAGGAAATGACAGAATGCCCCCCAAATCTCAGAACAAAGGGTGACCTTTAATGAAATGAATTTAACTTCTGAACTCCTCACCCTATTGTCTGTCTTTCCTTATTTTGGCCACAGACCACCAGTGTGCATGATGGCCTGGCCCCACATGGCCAGCTCATGGGAACCTCTGTGCCTGGAGCCAGGACCCCTGCCCCCACTCCTGCGACCTGCTTTCCCTGCCAGCCCAGACTCCTGCGCCCATCCCCACCCCTCCCAGGCCTGCACACACCAGGCTCGTCACTGCTAACCTCTCCGCTCCCTGCATCCCACCCAGAACATGGGCAAATACACCTCACGACATCTCTAGCCCCTACCTCCTCTCCCCATGATCTTCACTGCAGCCTATGGGCCCACATTCCGTCCCAGAAACGGAAACATCCGCTTTGTCTCATCTCTCTTCTGCCTGGAACCTCCAGGAGCTCAGCCTGGCACCGGAAGTCCTTGGCACACCCCTATCCTCACTGCACTGTGGCCCACAGCCCCGAGTGCATCACTGACAATGAAAGCTGCAGCCAAGGGCACGTTTATGCTCCAGGAGCCTCACTATAGGGGCAGACAGGGCTGGGTCGGGGCAGGGAACTCGAGGAGGCAGGGAACACACTGCAGCATCTGGGACAGGCCTCAGGGGCGAGGCCGCTGGGCTCGGGCTTGCTGTGAGGCAACGGGAGCCTGGCCAGGGCTGGGAGGCGGGCAGCAGCTCACTCAGATACATGACTGACTTTCCTGGGGACATTCAGAGATGAAGCCTGGAGTACAAGTGGCCCAGACTGCAGGTGAGGGCTGCAGCGACCTGAAGGGGAAGGTGGCAGGGGCGGCACCAGGTAAGGGCGGTAAAGGGATGGTGCTGGGGAGAGGCTGAAGTTACTAAGGGGAGTCTGGAGGAAGGCTGTGAGGCCCGCGTGCTGCCTGTGTTAGCCCCGGCATCCCTGCTGGGCTGCAGGCCCTGCCAGACATGCATCCGGGAGGCCTGCTCCTGACTCCTCCTCTGAGCCTCTGGAGGCAGAGGAAACTCCACTCCCACCCCAGAAGCCCCTCCCTGCAGGGCCCCTCGGGCTAGGCAGAGACCCCTGTCCCACCCTGGACCAGCCCCGGTGCCCATACCTGGCTACCCAGCCCCCCCTGGTGCTGGTAGAGGGAGAATCTCTCTTTGGCAGACTCCTCGGCGGTGGGGCTGAGGGGCTTAGGGTCAGACAAGGACCTCTGCAGGGTCTTCATGGGGCGAGGCAGCGTCTGCTGGCGGAGAGTGCTGTCAGCTGCGAAGTGCTTCTGGGGACTCACGTGAGCCTTGTTCAGCCTCTCACTGGAAGCAAAGGAGGTGTCCAGGAGCCGGTGTGGGGACAGGGGCGACACTGGTGAGTAGAGGACCTGAGGGGACTTGGGAGGCTGGCGGCTCACGAGCTGTGAGAGGGACTCCGGGGGCAGGTGGGCCTGGTACCCAATCTCCAGGGGATCTGGCTTCTTTTTTTCAAATCTGCCCAGGGGCCCTGGGGTGACGATTTGGATGCCAGGCAGGTAGGGGCTGATGGCAGTTGGCCCTACAAGCTGTGTCCCGGCCACAGCCTGGGCCTGCGCATCTGGCTCTGTCTGGCAGGCCAGGCTTTCCCCACGCCCCGTCTTCTCTGGCGCTGATATGTACTTGACGATCTCCACCTTGGGGTCAGTGGCAGCTGTGATGTGGATGGCCGGAGAGACCCTGGGCAGCGGGTCAGGCTCCGTCTGTACAGAGCAGTCACTGATGGTCTGGATGCCCACACTGCTCACGGCCCTCGCGGCAGCAGCGGCAGGGGGTGCTGAGGCAGTGGCCTCGTGCTTGCTGTCGGAGCTGGAGTCCGAGTGGCGGGACAGCCGGGTCCTGCGGCGGCGCACCGGCTGCTCCCATTCGGCGTTGTCCTCGTCGTCGGTCTGCACACTGCAGTCAGCACTGCGCCGTGTGCGGCGCCGCCGGGGCAGGAGGTAGCGGCCCTCCCCGTCTTCGTCGTCCGTCTGCACGCTGCTGTCTGCAATCCTCCTGACGGCGCCGGGCTCAGGTCCCGGCTCTGACTCACACGCATCCCGCAGGCGTGGCATGGAGTGCCGCTTCTTGATGCCAGCCCGGCTTGTCTCCCACTGCTCCTCAGTCTGCAGGGACATGTCTGAGGCGGAGCTGGGGAGACCCCGGTGCAGCACAGGCTCACGAGGCTGCCCAGGCCCCTCAGGCCCTGCCACAGCAATGAAGGCTGTGTGGCTTAGGGGCGGCCAGTACTGGCCATTCTGGGCCAACTCAGGTGCAGCCGGGGGAGGCCCTCGGCCGGGTGCCTCACAGGCTGCGGGGAAGGGAGCCTTCTGCCGCTGCTTCTGCTCCTCTAGCTGCTGCTGCAGCTGCTGCTGCAGCTGCTGGATCTGCTCCAGCTGCAGGCGCTGCTGCGCCAGCTGCTCTCGCTGCAGTGCAAACTGAGCCTGGCGCTCCTCCTGCTGCTGCTGCAGCACGTGGTGCTTGATGGTCTGCAGCTCCTGCAGCTCCCGCTGCACCAGCAGCTGCTCTTCCTCGCGGTGCCGCTGAAGCTCCACACGCTCCCTCTCCAGCTCCTCTTGCAGCCGCAGCTGTCGCAGCTTCTCCAACTCGACTCGCTCCCGCTCCAGCTGCAGCAGCTGCTCCTGCTGCTTCCGCTGCCTCTCCTCCTGCGATGCTTCCTCCTTCTCGGGCCCTGGCCGGCTGAGGGCTGCACTGCCAGCCCCAGGAGCAGCATCTCCTGGCAGCTTCTGGCCAGCTAGTGGAGCAGAGGCTGGGGCGGCCACGGCCTCCTTAACAGCAGCTGGGGTGGTGGTGCTAAGAGGTTCTTCCCGTGCAGCCCCTGCTGGCAGCTCTGGCCGTGGTGGGCCTCCGGTCCCAGGGGCCTTGGCAGCAGCAGGTTTCCCCAGGTAGACAGGCCCCTCCGCAGGTGGGACACTGGAAGCAATGGGGAATCTACCCGGTGCAGGGTATCGGAACAGGCCTGGGGGCCCAAGAGGTACCCGGGGTGCAATGATGGGCATGCGTGTCAGGCTGGTGAGGGGCACAGCTGTAACCCCACCAGATGCATAAGGCCTGTACATGCCACCACGCACCATGGGCCGCAGGACTGAGGCAGGCTGGGTGGTGATGGGCAGTGTTGCAGCAATTGGGGTGTTAATAGTAGAATAGATCATGCCATCAGCGGCACGCACAGTGGCTGTGGATGGCAGCAGCTGTCTGACTGCTGTTCCCTGGCCTGCCGCAGGTCCGTACTGGGCCAGGTTCCCAGGACTCGGGTGGCCCTCTGGGAAGGTGGGGTTACCAAGGAGGCCAGGTCTGAGGGGAGCCAGAACCTGCGGAGCACTGAGCCCAGGCCCATGCTGGGGCTGGTACTGCGCAAGGTCAGGGCCACCACCACTGCTGCCACGTCGCCCGCCGTACTGGTCCATGGAGTTGAGGGCGGCACACATGCGGCTGATCTCACGGGCCGTGGTGGCACTGTACTGGGCCAGACTGGCCTCTTGGAAACCAACTGCATCTCCCCGTGTGCCATACCTGTGGTCTGAGTAAATGTTGGACACTGAGCTATAGCGCCGCATGGGAAGCGGGTGAGTCAAAAGATCCGTGGGCTGACGCAGGTCTGTAAACGAGCCATACTGCAGGCCCTGCCCTACGTAGCGTCCGTCTGTGAAGCCCAGGCTGTAGGAGTGCTTCAGGGAGCTGAGGTCCATGGCCGAGTCTCGTCCAGCACCCTGGAGGAGCTGCCCAATCCTGTGGGCGTGGTAGTTGAGACCAGCCTCAGCCAGATTGGTGTCAGACATGGAGGAGTATAGTCTTCCAGGGAGGCCCTGTGGGTAGGGCCTCTGTTCCTCATGGGGCCCGGGCCCCATGACTCCCTGTGCCCGGTAGGTGGGGGGCTCAGGAGGCTCGGAGTCCCGGGGACCATAGAAGGGGCCACTGCTTGGGCCAGGTGGAGCGGCATCTGACACACTCTTCTCAGGTGCGCTGGGGGCAGGGTGGAAGGTGCCAGTGCAGCTACTGCCAAAGGGGAACTTGTAGACCATGTCACAGCATGCCAGCTGGCTCTCTGGTCTCATCCCCGTAAGGTCCAGGGCACCTGCTGGTTCCTCTGGGAGCAGAGTGGTCACAGTGCCTGCTGTGCCCTCTCCCATCTGCACCACCACTGTGTGTGGCTTCCTGGCACCTGGCAGAGCATGTGACCGCAGCTCTGCTGGGGTGACCCGGTGGGGCTCAGCTCCGGGCTCTGGCACTGGCCCAGCCTTGAGGCCCACGCTCTGGGCAGTGCCCATTTGAGTGATCAAAACATCTCTTCTGGCCAGAGGTGCCATCTGGTTGGGTAGGTTATACCTAGCAAACTTGGCCTCCCTGGGTCTTCCCCGGGGTCCCCCTCGGTACGGGGCTGTCTGGACAGCTTGTTCTACCTGCTTGACCTGGGCCAGGCACACAGGGCTCCCTGACCCCTGACCAAAGTCAAGCCGGCTCTGGAAAGGGTCTCCATAGACCACGGGCTGCTTTTGCTGAGCCATGAGCACAGAGGAGGACATGGTGATGCTCACGGTGGTGGCAGTGCCGAGAAAGGTGTGGGTCTGCTCCTGGGCATTGAGGTTGATAACCAAGGGCTGCACAGCGGTCGACTGCCGTCCTGGAATTGGATCCAGAGCGAGGCCATATTTCCTTGCTTCTGCAGCAAGAGAGGTCAGGTCCATGCCCTGGTCAGTGAGGATGATGGGTGTGGGCTTGACAGCTGTACGGAGGTCTACCACTGCACTGCCAGGAGGCCTGGGGCCCGGCTCAACCCTGGATGTTCCAGGGACAGAGGAGATCCGGCACAGGGAGATGTTCTCAGCAGGGAGGGCGCCCCAGCCATACAGGGCCAAGGGCCCGTCTGCCCCAGCACTGGGTGCCCGTGGGAAGCCAGGGGGCCCAGGTGGCTCTGGGGGCATCTGAGACCCACTGGGAGGTGTTGTCTGGCTGTAGCTGTGGGCGGTGGGCTGGGTGTCTGTAGGTGAGCTGAGTGGGGAGGTAGAGGCGCTGGCATGTACCATCCTGGTCTGGCTAGAGGCGTCTGATGCCAGGGTGATGACCATAATGGGTGCCTCCTGAGAGGACTGCTGCCACACCAGGCGAGGCGTGCTGGGTCGATGTGGTGTTTGTGTGCCCTGGGCTACCATGGGTGTCGAGGTGGGGGCACCGGGGCTCCGTGGCATGTCCAAGGCAGGCACTGCACTTGGCGTCTGTGTAGAGAACTCTGCTGTGGCCCGTGGGCCCAGCTTGCCGGGGGAGAACGTGGGACTCTCCGAGGGGGAAGACGGGGAGACTGGTGGGCTGGAACCCACAAAGTAGGAATATCCCCGGGAAGTCTGTGGAGTACCAATGTCACCATCGCCCCCGCTCAGGGACTTCTCTCTGGAAGCCCGTCCACCTGCAGCAGTGCCACCGGGGGCCTGGGGCAGCTCCTCGGTTTGGGACGCATAGTTTGCAGTGCTTGGGCTTGGGCCATAGCCGTGGCCTGCAGAGGATGGTGGAGGAATGCGCTCAGAGCCGGCAGCAGGGGCCGGGGTTATATACCCTCGTGGCAGACCAGCTGGACAAGGAGCCACAGCTGGCGTGGCTGGCGCCCCAGGCCCCTGGGAGACAGACACACCTGCCTCCTTGGAGGCAGAGCTGGGGGAGGCAGCAGAGCTGTGCAGCCTGAGGGGTTCCTGAGGCTCCTTTGCGAAATGCTGAGTGACACGGACATCGGGGATAACTCGGCCTCCGCTGCTGTCTGAGGGGGTGGAGGTGGAGAAGGACACGGGGGCAGCGAGCTGGGTGGGACTGGTTCCTGGCGTCAGTGGGCCACCATTTTGCTTCATCGGGTCCATGTATGCACTGTCAGCATTCAGAAACTGCTTCTCCTTCTTCTTGTCCTCAGCGAAGGCCAGGTCCCTCGAGGAAGCCTGCCGCATGCGCGCGATGCTTTGTGACGTCTGAAGGATCTCCTCGTACACGGCTGTTCCCACGCCAGCCGGCGGGCCCTCTGGGGCAGGCTGGGCGGCCCTGCCATAGTCACGGTCTGGGGTGTCCTGGTAGTCAAAGGCGCCCTGGCCTGCATGAGGCCCCCTGGCCCCCGGCCCCTGGCCCTGCTGCCGCTGCAGCAGCTCAGCCTTCCGCATCATCTCCTCATAGGCCTCCTCCGCACTCTTGAGGGGCCGTGCGGCGCTGGGCGTGGGGGCGCTGCCCACAGGCGTCTCGGTTGGTGAGTAGAGGGACATGAAGGTGGGCAGGTTGTACTCACTGCCCGACTTATAGAGCCGGCTGGGGCCTCCGTCCAGGGCCTCGGCCTCCGAGTCAAGGGAGGGCGAGGGCGAGTACTCAGAGCACGAGGAGCGGTGCAGCTCCTCCATCTCTGCTGCCTGCCTCAGTTCCTCCGTGGGGGACGCGTCCTCGATGGGCGACAGGTTGCTGGGGGGTGTTTTGGAGCGCTCGCGCCGCCGCTGGGCCCGCAGCTCCTCCTTGTCACGCCGGGTCTTGCGGGCCGTGCTGCGGATGCGCTGCTGCTCCACCTCCCGCATCTTCTCCTGCTCCCGCAGCAGCTCCTCTTCCTCCCGCAGCTCCTCCTCCTCTGAGGAGTCCTCGATGGTGGGCAGCAGGGGCCCATGGGAGCGGTGCCGGGCCTTGCGCTGCTGTTTGGCTTCTTCTAGTCGCTGCCGGCGGCTGGGGCTGCTGTCACTGTCCTCCTCCAGTGAGGACAGGGAGGTGGGGGAGGTGCCCGACGTGTAGCTGGGTGTGGAGGCGGGCAGGGTGGAGGAGTGCTCCCCACGGGAGCGGTCCTCTGGCGAGCCCGTCAGGCTCTCCATCTCCAACTCAGGCTCCCGGTCGAGGCTGGGGTCAGGGCCTTGGCCCAGGTCTAGCTCATGACCATAGCTGCCCGTGCTGTTGAGCTCAATGGTCTTGAAGCGTCGGAGTCCACCCTGCAGCGACCCGCTCCCGTCTGTGTCCTCTGACGGCCCCGCCTCAGAGAGCAGTTCCTCATAGCCAGTCGTGGCATTGTGGGGCAGGCGCCTCTTGGGCAGGGCTACTGGTTCTTGGCCAGGCTCAGGCCTGGTCCTGGGGCCGCCCTTCTGGGTACCAGGTTTGGCCAGGCCGTGTCCGGAGGTGGCAGTGTCATCGTCTTCTAGGTTGTCTTCCTCAGCACTCATCTCCAGGATCTGCCGTCGCATGAACTCCTCATCAGTCAGCTCAGCTGCCCGGGCCGGGGGCTGCGGTGGAACAGGGGACAGGCCGCCCTCGCTGCTGTCCTCCACATAGTCGTGCCTCAGCTGGCTGCCGAAGTCGTCTGAGGACTCGGCGGCATCCCGCTGCTCCCGCTGGCGCTGCCACTGCAGGGAGCCCTCCTCCTCCTCCAGGATATCCTCCAGCTCCTCGTCAGAGTCGAAGGCCTCGGGCATAATGGACAAGGAGTGGGGCCGCCGCTTCTGCTCCTTACCAGTGCTGCTGCTGGGGGCCTTGCTCCGCTCACCACCACTGGGGGCCAGGCCCTGTGTCTCCAGCAAAGGACGCATGCTGCTCCCCACCTTGTGGAGCTCAGAGGGGCTGGGCGGCCGTGGCCCTGTCACCCCCGCGCTGTCCAGCTGCTCCACCTCCTGCCGCACCACACCTGTGATCTCACTCTGGGAGCTGGAGATGCCGTCGGAAGAATAGCCTGTGTCACTGAGGCTCTGTGGGCTCCGTGACAGGTCCTGAGGGTAAGGCTTGCCCACCGGTTCCTGCAGTAGGGCAAGAGCAGACACTGACTTCCCGTGGCAGCTCAAAGTGGAGCCCAGCCCTCCCTGTCAATCCCAGGGCCCCGGGGAAGGGACCCCTCCCCCCCATTTCCCAAGGGTTTGGGGCCTGCCACCCAGCCCCCCTCTCTGGCCTTAAATAACTTGCAGGTTCCATGGCAAACCTCAAGCAGTCCTAGAGATTCAAAGAGCTTTACTAGACCAAAAGGTGTCCAAACCCATCAAGGCACCAGACACAGGTCACTCTCAAACTCAGGGCTCCCAGGCCTGCCAGAGCCTTATTCAGGCTTTCCTTCTGCTGGGGCAACCCTGCCCTCCTCTGTGGCTCCACAGGGCCTGGCCCAGGCCTGCATCTTCAGTCTCCCAGGGAGGCAAGCCCCTCCTGAGACTGTCCCAATCTGGCAAGTAGGGCTCATGGGAATGAATGGACTGACCTCTGCTTCCCCACCCTTGGGGGCTTCTGGAGCTGCCTTGACGACAGGGGGGGCAGGTTCAATCCTCCTCACCCCGCTCTTTACTTTAGGAGCCCCAGGGGGCGGGGTCGTTTCTGGAGGTGGCTTCGGCACAGACTCAGCTTTTGCAGGGACTCCTGTCTTCTTTTCCTGGGCACTGCTTGGGGTCTTGCTGGGTTCAGAAGCTCTGAGGGGCTTGGACTGGGTGCTGGCCTTTGTGGGCAGGGGGCTGGTCTTGGTGGGTAGGGGGCTGGCCTTGGCAGGCAGAGGGCCTGGTGGTTGGCTGGGCCCCTGTGGCCCTTTCTGCTTCGGAGGGGCTGTTCCAGCGGCACGGTGAGGGGTCCCCGAAGGGGGCTGCTGTGAGGTGGGCAGCGGCAGCGGGGTCGGCTCTCCCAGGCCGCCCTCCAGCAGCCGCTTAGTTTGGCAGTTCAGACAGAGCCACTCTGTTTTCTGCAAGCAAATGGGAAAGACAGTTGATGAAAATCACAAAGACACTGAAGTACTCAGAGTATTTCCAAAACTGCTTCCACAACCTTAGGAAGAAAGAGCACGACGCCAAAGCCCAGGGAAGAGATGATGGCCGGATTTACTTTCTGGTCTTTAATTGAACATACACAGTCCAAATCAAATGACAGACAAAAGAAGGGTCCCTTCCTTACCCCTACAGAACCTATAACCTGGACAGAAAAGGAGAACCATGGGGGAGGGAGGCCACAAGCAGCAGCACAAGGGCCTGGTGCCAAAAGCGCAGGGGAAGCTGGGTCCCCCTCTCAGGGCGTGACCCGCTGTTTGGGGGATGGCGTGGAGTCCAGCCACTGGGAACCCTGGCAGAGCAGGGATGGTGCTGCCCCTCCCCGGCCTTGTAGCTCTCAGCTCTGACAACATTCTCCTCCACACCATTCCCCAAGTAAAGGCTATGCTGGGGAGCGGCAGACTCCTGGGCAGGGGTACAGGGGAGGGCTGTCTGCGAGACGCTTCGCTTGGCAGGCAGGGCTGAGTGATCCTCTGCTCAGATGCGCGGCCCAAGTCACCTGAGCTACGGCTAACAAAGACCCTCAGGCAGAGGCCCCCTCTTGCCCCAGGACTCCTCAGATGGGAGGTGTGTGTGGTCACCCTTGGCCAGGGGCTCTGCTCCTTTCAGAGCTTGGTGACCAGTCCACCACTCTCAGGGTCACCATTCTGTTTCAGACCCAAGGCTGCCGCAGCTTAGACAGGGACCAGCATGCAGTGTTCTTGGAGCCCACAGCCCCAAACAGGTCACGAGTATGACATGGTTATTAATCAACGGTGAAGACCCCAGAACACCACAAGTCAAAGTTCCCAGGCCCCAGCTGCCTATGCAGGTGTGGGGTTTGGGCACGCCGAGCCCTCCGTGAGTGATTCCTGCAGTTGGTCTCAGGCTGACAGTGGCAGGTCTTCCAGGAACCTCGTGCACAGTGAGGATGCCAGGCCCTGCCCTGACCCACATGGGATGTAAGGAATGAGGGTTGGTGCAGTCTAGAGCAGGGCCCCACCAAAGCCATGAGTACAGAGCCCTGACATGGTCTCCTTCCTGCTGCTCCTCCTCCTGGGTCCCTGGGCACTCAGGCGCAGGCTCTGAACTGGGAAGGGCCACTATGAGAACCAAAGGGTCACAGAGAAAAGGAGGGTGCAGGGAAAGGAGGTAGCCCTTGGTCCTCATCAACCCTAGACAGGCCAAAAGCCTTAATACCCTCACCTCACACGGTGCCTCCAGGCCCAAGTCAGATCCTGGCCCACCTGGCAGAGCCCTGGAAGCTTGGTACACCCAAGGCAGCTGCCCTCAGGGTGAGATCCTCAGGACACCATGGCTGGTCACATCAGTGATGCTGCCCTGGGCCTCAGCAGAGGCCAGGCTGGCCTGGTGGCTGGGCCGTGGTGTGTGCTGAGGGACAGGCCTGCTCCAGGTTTACTCACCGTCTTGAGGCTGCTTCCCTGAGACTAGAGCTCCTGCTCGTCCGTGAGGCTTAGCCCCAGGCACAGGTTCTGGATAGGGGGATGGGCAGTGGGGTCCAGCTGTGGAGGGGGACCCTTTAGAAGCCCTACATGTACTCACCCTGTTCCCTGCAGGGCTCAGCCACAGTACCCCTCTGACAAACTCCCCTGGGCCTCAACTGATGCTCTATGTATCGCGCACAAACCCCTGTGAGGTGCTGGCCACTGGCTGGCCCTTCTGCTTACCTGCTCTGGCAGGGTCTACCCTTAGAAGTGCCTAGGGAGAGCACAGGACAGAAGGAGACCAAACCTTAAGAGGGACAGGGCATGGGAAAGCATGGAATCTGATCTAAAAAACCCAGCCCACAAGTCCCAGCATCATCTGGGGACACAGCAGAAATCCCCCATGTTATAAAGGACGGTGAGTGAGCAGAAAGACCCGGGGGGTGGGGGGGACAGAAAGCAGAGACCAGGAGAGAGTTCTAGAAATGAGCAACAGCCCATTTCCAAGCCCAGGGTCACCTGATGGGATTAGAATCTGGGCACATACAGGGGGCGAGGCCAAGGCAATGCTGTCCTGACCCCTCCTTGGGTCCCTGCACACAACTATCTGAGATTAGGCTTCTTAAAGGTGGATCATAGGTTGGCAAACATGTGACCCACCTTCGGCCTGCAGACCTCTCTAATAAAGCTAAGGTTCCTTGGAAGGTAGTCTAGATGGAGAAGGCAGACTCAATGCCACGTGCTCAGAGCCAGCCGCCGAAGAGACATGCTAACCTGAGCCCAGATGCCCAACCCACCACAAAGCATGTCGCTGTGGTCACATACTCCCTGGGGTTCTACTCCTCCATGCACTGATTCATGGAGACAGCCAAGTTGCAGAAGGAGCTGCTCAGTCAGCCTCCTTGCTCCTGGCTCTGCTCTAAAAGGCAGCGGGGGGTGGGGGGCAGGGAGAAGGAGGCTCAGGCAATAAGCTAAAAATAAACACTTGACTTGGTTCCTGGGGCAGGAGGAGGACGAAGGGTACAGGGTACTGGGACCAGTATGGGTGAAGCCAGGGGAGACCTGGTCCAAGCCTGAGGCTTCTGGGGAGTGGGATGGTAGAAGGCAGCCCATGTAGAATCCCTGTGCCAGTCACTAAGGTCTGAATTCTTTTGTTTACTCTACTCTCATCTCCCTTCACCCCAGAGTGCCCCCAGCCCTGCCTAATTATTCATTCCCTTCAGTGGTAATCCTCCACTAGCACATAGTCCTGCTCTCCCTCAACCAGCCCCAACAGACCCCAGCCCTGGGGAAACTGCTTTCTGCTAGTCCCCTTGGCAAGTGGGCAGGGCGCACACAATGGAGAGACTCTCATGACCACTTCTATCTTGCCTCCCTCTGTCCAGTTCCTTTCTGGGAGCAGGAAGGCACCATTCCCCCAAGAGCTACCATCACCTAAAAGTGGGAGGTACAGGGGTGTACTCCACCGATGGAGCTCAGTGGCTCAGGAAGAGGAATTGAACTGAGAGAGTTGAGGGGTACCCCACAGGTGGGAGAGACCTGCTGCTTCCTGGGCCCACAGGCCAAGGGAGCCCGGGGGGCTGTGCAGGATGCTGGGCAGCCTCCCTGCACCATCTGCCATCATCTGAGCTGCAGCCTGTCTCATTATCTCAGGGCATAAGCATCTGAGGTTCAGCACCTCACCTGGTCCCCACAGGAGCCTCAGTGGGATGATCACTGCTCCCACTCCACAAGGAGGTGATGGGTCTCCCTGAGGTCACACATCCCAAGGCAGCCTGAGGCAGATGGGGAGCACCAGCAGCTGCTGGCCTCCTGCCTGATGCCTCACCATAGCCCCTGCTCAGAAAACCTAGCTTAGACCCATATATCACAGGTGCCAGGCCCTGGCCCAGGGAGGCTGACTTCTCAAGGGTATAGCTGGTATGGCAATTATAGTATGCTAACAAACTGGCAGTATTACTGTAACAATTCCAATTCCACTAATTTCTTCAAAAACTCTACTTTGAACTGAAAGTCAATTAAAAATTATGCCAAAGGATGTTATTATTCTTCAAAAAGATAAATAGGTAAAAAAAAATTGGAATCAACAACTCTTAATTAAGAAATGACTCACTAAATAGCAGTATGGTTATTTTCAAAGGAAAAAGGACCCAATTGTGTTGCTGCCTCTGTTACATGCTCTGGACTCCCGATCTAGAGAGGAAGACAAAGATTTTTCCAGCTCAGGGATGGTCAGGAACATTCCCGACCTATTGGTCCAGACAGCTGGCTCTGCCCTCAGGAGGAGCCCCAGTGGGGAACCGGTGGAGCTGTGAATGGGGCTCCCCTGGCTCCCAGCCTGCCTCGCACTGTGCACAGACACAGCAGTCTCCCTGAGCCTGGCACCCCAGCCTTGGCCAAGCCAGGTGCTGGGAGGGACGCCATTGCAGACCTTCCTCAGGACCTGCACAAGGACCTGCAGGCCCTGCCAGCTCACTCCCAAGGTAGGATGGATGTTGGAGGGCCCTGCTGAGAAATCAGAAGCCTCAAACCAAGAATGCACGAAGTAGGTCACAGGGAAGCACAGAATTGCTCCGAACACCAAGCGGCCATCACTGAGGTGAGATCGAAGTGAGCCACGGCTGCGGAAGTGAGGACAAGTGAAGCTGGAGCCTGGGCAGGAGCACAGCGGGCACTGGCCAGTCCCCAACAGCCTTCACTAGACCCGCAGCAGGTGAAGCCACGAGAAGGCTTTGGTCACTGTGTTGGTCAGGGAAGACAAGGAAGGGTGGAGAGGAGAGGCCAGCCAGAGTCTCCTGAGAGTGGGGATGTGAGGCTTGGTCTGCAGAGTGGATGCTGGAGGGAGGGGAGCAGCTGGCATCTCTGAAGGTAGGTGAAGGTGCAGTCTCCACGGTGGGAGCCGTGGGAAGGGGCCTCGCTGTCTGTCTACGCCCTCCCCAGAGCAGCCATAGGGCCTTGGGACAGCAGTGTTGGCAGGGAAAGCCGTGAGGAGAAAGGGGTGAGGGAAGGGCACCACCCTCGGAGCTGCTGTTAGGAGCAGCAGGCAGGGAAGCAGAGCCTGGGCTGGCGGAGCTAGCACCAGGGCATTCATCAGCTTTGCTCTCAGACCCGAGGAACCCATCAGTCCCTGTGGAGGCAAGAGAAGTCCTGGGCAAGGAGCTGGCAGTGCGGAAGGGCAGGGAGAAGGTAGGACTGGTAGGACTGGTGGGGCTGGGCAGGGCAGGACAGGGCAGTGCAGGGGACAATGCTGGGCACAGAGAGGAACAAGCTACAGGGTCCAGGAAAGCCAGAACAAACCAGCTAATGAGAGGCTTAGATCAGAACCCAGATGCCTAACCTAGAGTCAGCATGTGACTGAGACACTTGTGTTTGGCCTGATTCAGCACTGCCGTGCCTGGCCCAGGGGCTGCCAAAAGGAGCTGTCAGGAACACTTACACTCCTGGACAGAGGCAAACTGCCTCCTCTCTGCACATCTTGCTCAGTGAGGAAATGTAGGCTGAGAAGTCTCTTGGGGACAAGGGTCCTCCAGGCCAGGCCAGCTCAGGAGTCCATCAGGCCTCATAGTTCCGCAATGTCAGGGTACCCCGCCAAACCAGGAGCGAGCTTGTGCTTGGAGGTCTCTGGGTAGAGCAGCCAGCTGGGGCTCCCCCGGCCCTATAGTGACCCCTTAGTGCATACCCCAATTCCCAAAGCAGCCAGGCAAGCTGTCCTCCTGTGAGCCACTGGGCCTACAGCTTAGGAAGGCGGCAGTGTGGGGCCTGAGGGGCCACATGGCTGTCACATGAGGGGTCACTTGTCTGAATCAGGAATAACCCCTCTGCATGTTGGGAAATATGGCCATCTTCCTAGTCAAACTGAGTGTCTCCCAAGAAGGCCTGGTCCAAGGGAAAGAGTCAGTTACACACCCGAGAGGGAAGGGCACCCCGGTATGCTCAACAGCCATGCTGTGGTTCACTTAGGTGGCCCCGGGCATGGGATAATGGGTGAGGAGGTTGGAGGAGGAGCAGAAGCAGCCCCTGGGCCCAGCATGGTCCAGTTCTACCAGGGTCCAGAGTCTCCATCTCCACCTTCCAGAGTCTCCCTGGCTGGAGTCCAAACTCCAAGAGAACATTAAGCCCAATGCTGGGCCTCTGCTCCCTCCCACCTGGTTCTGCACAGTGCCCAGTGCTAACAAGGAAGTGCAGAGAAACCTGTACTAACCCAGCTCTCCCACAAACCTTCCTACGGGTAAGAAGAGCATTTCTGAGCACTCCCACAAGCAGCCCCAAGGAAAGCCAAGGCCCAGACAAGGAAAAATACGTGGTTTTGACGGGCAGACATTAACAACCATGACTTCAGAAGAGAGGGCTGAGTGGAGTCCAGCTGGTTTGGCTGGTGCCCCACCATGGGAGAGCCTCCCACCCCACCCTGGGCATGGAGCACCCCTGTGAGGGTCACAGACTGAGGGCAGGGTGGGACCCTAGGTTCTTCCAGCCTGAGCAGGGGAAGCTGTCACCTTTCATCAGGACCATGACCATGGTAGCTGGGAATGGGAAAGTCAGCTCAGGGCTTCCCAAGCCCAGCTACCACTGGGAGCAGACTCAGGGCACTGGCCAGGCAGTCGGAGACATTAGGCACCACTATCTCCAGCTACTGTGCCACTTTGTTTAGTGAGTAAAGACTGGTGCCTGAGGCCGGGACAGGAAAGAGAGTGCAGCCCCTTTGAAGCACTGTCTGTTAGGAGCAGTCCCATGCCTGCTGCAGACCCAGCAGTACTTTGCAGCCTTTCTGGTCCCCATGCCTCCCACCACCTCAGGCCCCAGTCCCTTGCCAAGGTTCAGGGGAACATGCTTGGTACAGCTCTCTTACCTCTACCAGGTGGGGTGTTGGGTTAAAGCCACACAGGTTGCACACCTGGAGCTTGCAGGTGGTGCAGGTGTTATAGTTGGCTGGGCCCTTGCTGCCCACGTTGAGCTCGGCTTGGCACAGCGGGCAGGTAGCCCTTTCCTTCGGCATGGTCTTTGGCTTGGCAGCAGCCTTGGATGCTGCCTGATGTTCTGCTCTGCCATGTTTTGGACTGGTTGTTCCTCCAGTTTTTGCCAGGGCTCCAGGCCCTGATCCAGGGCCTGTTCTAGCCCCAGGCTCAGTTTTGGCTCCAGATACTGGTCCAGGCCCAGGTCCTGAGCCTGGAGGTCTTGGACCAGCCTCCTTGCTGGCATCGCTGAAGACGATCTTGGGCGGCCCCTTACTGGGTGCAGCCTGGCCCTGGGGGTCAGCCTCAGGCTGCACAGACATGAGGGTGCTTGCCTGGGTTAGCAGTGATGCGCCAAGGCCGAAGAGCTTCCCAGTGAGGCCCTCTTGGGTCTGCTCGGCAGCACCAGGCCCAGAGGGCGCTGCAGTGGCACTTTTTGCTGGGGCCTCTCCTGCAGGTGGCCTAGGCTCAGTTGTGGAAGGCTTGGTGGGGTGAGGGGGCTGAGGAGATGCCCTCCCCACCTCTGGAGGGGCAGCTGCTTGTGCAGGCCCCGGCACTGAGGTGGCCCTGGCTGCCTCAGCCTGGCGGGGGCCAGGCTGCGGTCCCCCTGGGCCCCGAGATCTCTCTTGCTCTGGCTTCCCCAGGGGCTGTTTGGCTGGGGAGTGGGCAGGAGACAGGGCTGGGGAGTGCAGCTGCTGCTGGCTCTTGGAGCGAGGCGCAGTGGTCATGTCCATTCCCAGAGCCCTCTGCATCTGACAGTTCAGACAGAGCCACTCCTTCACCTGAGGAGAGAAGTATTGTGGTCAGTACGGTAGCCATGACTGGTGGTGCTCATGACCCAGAGCACTGCAGGCCCACAGTGGCCAGGGCTAGCTCCCGGCTCAAGCACGAGCACAACGCTCTGCTCAGGTGTTTCCTGGCTGCCATGGGGCACTCGGCACTGCCCTGCCTTCTAGGAGCTTGCAGGCACACGGGGCACCCTCAACACTCAGGCTGCTCCCTGCTGGCCCCTCTTGTTTGAGAATCATCCCTACCCGGAGGCTGTACCCAGATCTGGGTATGCCATTCCACCTCACCGGTCCACGCCATTGACCTCCTTGCTGGATGGCCTCAATAGCCTCCTCACCCTCCCCATGCCTCCTTTCGGCCATTTCTGTTTTTAAAGATTTATTGCAGTCGGTGCTGTGGTGCAGCAGGTTGAAGCCCTGGCCTGCAGCACCACCATCCCATATGGGTGCTGGTTCAAGTCCCGGCTGCTCCACTTCCAATCCTGCTCTCTGCTATGGCCTGGGAAAGCAGAGGAGGATGGCCCAAGCCCTAGGGCCCCTGCACATATGTGAGAGACCAGGAAGAAGCTCCTGGCTCCTGGCTTCAGATCAGTTCAGCTCAAACCAATGCAACCATTTGGAGAGTGAACCAGTGAATGGAAAACCTCTCTCTCTCTCTGTAGCTCTTTCAAATAAAATAAAATAAAATCTTTTAAAAAAAGATTCATTAATTTTTATTTGAAACACAAAGAGGAGAAAAGAAATCTTCCATCCCCAAATGGCAGAATAAAATAAGCATTTTTCCCCTTAAGGAGTACGAGATTTTTACAGAAAATGGGATAGTATCTGCCTCCAGAACCAATGAGACACGTGCTGCTCTTCACAAGGTGCCAGTAACCCTGTGCAGGAATGGGAACGGGCTCTGACCAACAGGGCCAGTGAGAGCCCTCCAAGTTTTCTGACCAATGGCTGCCAGGCAGGGGAGGCCCTTTCTCCTTCTGGATTATCAGACAGAAAGATGCAGCCTTGAGGTGGTCAGCCACCTTCTTCATCATGCAGAGAGATGCTAAGAATGAAGTCAACAGGCAGTTGGAAGTAGAGCCAAGAAAAGAAGAAAAGAGCAGATGTGATGGCTTCATTTAATTCCCTGGATAAAGTTGTGCCTTAGTCCGCCCTTACACTTCCAGTCTCATGAGCCAATAATATTTTTTCCTCCGAAACCTACATGCAAATTAGAGCATATCACTTACTATTGCATCACATTTTTTAAAAGATTTATTGGTTTTTATTCGAAAGGCAGAGTGACAGAAAGAGGGAGAGCTCACAGCCCCAGGGTCTACCCCAGCCTTCTCCTCTCACTGGCTCCTTTCCCTGCTATCTCCTCATGGTTCTCTCAGCCCAGACACGCAGGGCCCCTGTTCTGCCACGTGCTTCTCTGAGCTCAATTCTGCATCAGGCTCTCTGCACTCATGGTTCCCTCTGCTCCTCGGACCCCGGCTTGTTGTATAGAAATCGCTTCCCTCAGGCTGGGCCGGGTGGGACTGGGTTGGCGCTGTGGATGAGCAGGTAAAGCTGCCACTCGTGGTGCTGGCACCCCACATAGGCACCGGTTTGAGTCCTGGCTGCTCAGTTTCCAATTCCACTCCCTGTTGATGTGCCTGGGAAAGCAGTGGAGGGTGGCCCAAGTGCTTGGGCCCCTGCACCCACATGGGAAACCCATAAGAAGGTCCTGGCTCCTTGCTTCAGACCAGCCCAGCTCCAGCCATTGCAGCCAGCTGGGGAGTGAACCAGCAGATGGAATCTCTCTCTCTCTCCCCCTGTAACTCTGCCTATCAAATAAAAGAATACATCTTAAAAAAAAAAAAAAGGTATCATTTCCCCATAAATGCCTCCTTGGGCAACAACGTGAGCCCTATCCTCTTTCTCCATATTCTTATTTTTCCTAAGAGCTTATTCCATCCCAAGGTATCTACTAATTAGCTCACTGGTACCCCCTGTGCCCCAAACCTCAAGCTCTGGTAGATGGGGCATTTCCGGGCTGCATACAGTGTGTGGCACAGAGCAGACCTCATCCCAGAAAGGTCTGCCTGGAAGAGAAATCCTGATGATGAGATGTGGGTGCAACTCCCACCAGGCTGAAGCGACGAGGTCAGGCGCCTCTACAACCAGAGCTGAGGCTGGAGGTCATGTGGTTCCACTGTCTGTGGTTCTGAATCCACCCTGGCAGGCCATTCACCACCAGGAAGAGACCCAGTCTGATCTTGGGGCAGAAGGTCCTTACGTTCACCCTCAAGAGTGCCTCCAGCCCTGCTCTTTGCCACAGGGCCCTGGGCGGCATTATTAGGTGAGGACCTGGGCACAGCGTCTTGCCCCAGCAGCCCAGGAGCAGCGTCCAGGACAAGGAGAACACGTTGGTGAGGTGAGCACTCCTTGTGCCCAGCACCACATCAGGCACGCTCACAGGCATTCTCTCATTTTGCCAAGTAGAGAAAATCAAAGTTGGAGATGATTCAGCGACATGCTCTTGTGGTCACCTGCCACGACAGCCCTGACAACTCTGCCCAGCTCCTGAGCCACAGCGTGGGGAGCCCAGAGCCAAGGCCACTCAGCAGCATGCAGGCCAAGTGAGGGGTCCAGAAGTTACCCTTGTAAGCCCTGGCAGAGCCCCAGAACGGCAAGGTTCAGAGCTGTCCCCCAGGCGGGAACTGCAAACCACCACATGCTCATGGAGCCCCAAGGCAGCTTTGTCCATGCCTGGCAGAGAAAGCCACACAGGAAACAATTCTAGTTCCTGAGGCTCACTCTGAAGGCCCCCTGGGAAGGTCAAACTTGGCAGGGAGGGATTCGGCCCCATCAAATGGGAGTTCCCAAGGGCAGCTGGTTTCTGCGCATCTTGAGAGAGGCCCTGAAAGGATCGTGATCCTGAGGTGAGGCCCCACTCTGGCCCAGGGTGGCAGGCACTGTGGGGAGCAACTGGGAGCAACTAGGACTAGACTAAGTTACTGGAATTAAGACTTATTCTATGCATCTGCTCTCCCACAATATGGCGCTGGGAGAGGAGGCAACAGCTTCTACACAGCTGCCTCCAGTTCAACCAATAAACTGTAGGACCTGCTCCTGATTGGAGGAGAGCAGTGTACTCGGCGTGTGGGTAGCAGAGTTGGGATTGGTGGAAGAGGACTATAAAGGAGGAGAGAGACAACATGCACCAGGAACATCTAAGAGGAACATCTATCTGAAGGAACACCTGTGCAGCCCCCGAGAGAGCTGGCCGGCGGTGTGCCGCTCCCCCGCGGAAGTGGGGAAAGTGGCAGGGGGAACCGCCCTTCCACGGAGGTGGAAGGGACGGTAGCCAACCCGGGAAGAACCGGCAGCAAACCCGGGGAGGGCCGAGCAGACAAAAGAACAGCGCAGGGTCCTGTGTCGTTCCTCCACGAAGAGGGGGAGCGACAGGCACAGATGCAGATCCTGTGGTGGGGGCCCGCCTACACTCAAGAGCTTACTCTCCCGCACACCTGCGGTCTGCCCTGAGATGAGGCTTCCAGAGGGGGGACCTGGGAAGTGAGTTTCCGCTTCCTGGGGTTCTGGGTGGGACTGAACCAAAGCATGTGCTTCACTCCTGCACACGGCACAGAAGCTTCCCCTCCCCAGCCCTCATCACCCAGGCTGTCACAGGCGCCTCACCTAAAATAGAACCTCTTCAAGAAAGGGCTCAAACGCCCTGCGTGACTCAGCACCCAGATGGGCACAGCTATTTCCATCCAGTCTCTTCAAACAGTGAGGCGCCTTGACCACACCCTGTCCCAGCCCCTCCCAGGCTCAGGCTCAGGCCCAGGCTGAGAGGCCCAGCGTGCAAGTCCTCTCCAGGAGGACACTGACTGAGGGAGCGCTCTGAACCCAGGGGTTCCTCTCATGTCACCCCACGGATCCCAGGAGCCTGCTGGGAGGACCCAGAGGGAGGTCTCCCTCCCTGCTGCAAGGTCTCTGACCCTGTGCAGTGGGGTGGAGGCTGCCCACTGGATAGGGGTGGGAGGACAGGCTGTGGCAGACTCCTCTGATCTTGGGACCAGCAGCAGCGGAACCTTCCAGAGCTGCTCAGGTATTCTAGCTGGCTGCCCACCAGAATCAGAGAGGATGACCTACTAGTGTGAAAGGAAACCTCTCTTACGGTCCTGTTGTCCTCACCTGGCTCTTGGCCAGGAGATGTGGAGGTCACCAGGAGCCACAGTTGGAACAGGGCTACCCTGAGGTGGATGGCTCCACCAGATACTAGGTTGATTAAGCCCACTCTTAGCAAGAAAGTCCATCCTACCATCTCAGAGGGCTGGCAAGGACCTCCTGTGGATGCCCATGCACCCCAGCCCTGTAGGAGCATGGTTGGCAGTCAGGATGGGAAGGCTCTGCATGCTACGCAGGGTCAACAGGTGGTCTGGGGGGCAGAGGAAGCAGAAGCTTAGACATGAAAGGGGCTTCCCGTAGAGAGCCACTGCCTACCCTACCAGGAGCCTGCTAGGGATCTGGAGAGGTAGGGCCACTGGGCTCTGTGGCTCTCAGAGGACTTTCTCCCTGAGAAGTCTTTCCAGTTGTCCTTTCACTCGGACCTTTCAGTGCACAGAAGGGCAGCTAAGGCAGCACTGCCCACCGAGAGTCCACTCTGTGAACAGCAGTTGAATGAGCAGCTACCAGTGGCCTGTCTGTGGTGGTCACTCCTGCTGTGCCCTCCAGTGGGCTCTGGGGCAGAGAGGGAAATGGGGCAGTTCTATGAAGAGCTTCTACCTCTTCCCCACAGGAACAGTGGCAGCAGGCCTCCCCCAAAGTGTCTCAGCCCTACACGGTGGCCTTGCTTGCCAGATCTGGCACCAAAGGACCCTCCCAAGGTAGAGCCTGACTCATGGTCACCTCCATGGCTACCAGGACACACTAAGGACCCCCTGCAACAGTGGGTTCTCTTCCCAGGCCCCTCACCAGCAAGAAGAAGGAGCCTTGCAGACATCACTTAGTCTTCCTGTGGAGCA